CTGAAGAAGTGTGCATGCACATGAAAGCTCATACCAATAACAAACTTAGTTGGTCTCTAAGGTGCTACTGGAAGGAATTTATTTTGTTTTGACTATGGCAGACCAACACGGCTACCTACCTGTAATGGAGAAAGCTGTTGACTATAATTGTTTACAGCAGTAACATGCTGTGATTTTATACGTCTGGCAGGGGAAAAGCAATAAAATAAAAACAGAGGCCTTCAGCCAAAGATTTGACTGGTTATTTCAAATAAACCAGTGATTCCTCACCTCTGCAGCTTCATAGAATCATAGAATCATAGAGTTGGAATAGACCACAAGGGCCATCAAGTCCAACCCCCTGCCAAGCAGGAAACACCATCAGAGCACTCCTGACATATGGTTGTCAAGCCTCTGCTTAAAGACCTCCAAAGAAGGAGACTCCACCACACTCCTTGGCAGCAAATTCCACTGTCGAACAGCTCTTACTGTCAGGAAGTTCTTCCTAATGTTTAGGTGGAATCTTCTTTCTTGTAGTTTGGATCCATTGCTCCATGTCCGCTTCTCTGGAGCAGCAGAAAACAACCTTTCTCCCTCCTCTATATGACATCCTTTTATATATTTGAACATGGCTATCATATCACCCCTTAACCTCCTCTTCTCCAGGCTAAACATGCCCAGCTCCCTTAGCCGTTCCTCATAAGGCATCGTTTCCAGGCCTTTGACCATTTTGGTTGCCCTCCTCTGGACATGTTCCAGTTTGTCAGTGTCCTTCTTGAACTGTGGTGCCCAGAACTGGACACAGTACTCCAGGTGAGGTCTGACCAGAGCAGAATACAGTGGCACTATTACTTCCCTTGATCTAGATGCTATACTCCTATTGATGCAGCCCAGAATTGCATTGGCTTTTTTAGCTGCCGCGTCACACTGTTGGCTCATGTCAAGTTTGTGGTCAACCAACACTCCTAGATCCTTTTCACATGTACTGCTCTCAAGCCAGGTGTCACCCATCTTGTATTTGTGCCTCTCATTGTTTTTGCCCAAGTGCAATACTTTACATTTCTCCCTGTTAAAGTTCATCTTGTTTGTTTTGGCCCAGTTCTCTAATCTGTCAAGGTCGTTTTGAAGTGTGAACCTGTCCTCTGGGGTGTTAGCCACCCCTCCCAGTTTGGTGTCATCTGCAAATTTGATCAGGATGTTGAATAAGACCGGGCCCAAGACAGAACCCTGTGGCACCCCACTAGTCACTCTTCTCCAGGATGAAGAGGAACCATTGATGAGCACCCTTTGGGTTCGGTCAGTCAGCCAGTTACAAATCCACTGAATGGTAGCATAGTCAAGACCACATTTTACCAGCTTCTTTACAAGAATATCACGGGGCACCTTGTTGAATGCCTTGCTGAAATCAAGGTAGGCTACATCCACTGCGTTCCCTTCATCTACCAGGCTTGTAATTCTGTCAAAAAACGAGATCAGGTTAGTCTGACATGACTTATTTTTCAGAAATCCATGCTGACTATTGGTGATCACAGCATTCCTTTCTAGGTGCTCACCGACTGTTTGCTTAATGATCTGCTCCAGAATCTTCCCTGGTATTGATGTCAGACTGACTGGACGATAATAATAATAATAACAATAATAATTTATTATTTGTACCCCGCCCATCTGGCTGGGTTTCCCCAGCCACTCTGGGCGGCTTCCAACAAAGATAAAAAATACACTAAAATGTCACATATTAAAAACTTCCCTGAACAGGGCTGCCTTCAGATGTCTTCTGAATGTCAGGTAGTTGTTTGCGTGTCAATACCCCTCCCCCCCAGAAATAAAGACACAGGAGACGTTGATTAAGTTAATTGGGCATGAAAGGCCACAACTTTATTGATTAGAGAATTGAAGGTATTGGCCTTAGGCATTGGCACCTATCCACTACCCGGCATGGTGACCGGGATGGGTTAACACGAACCGTGGGGGGTCCTGTTGAAGTACGCCAACTAGGATCCCACGGGTGTCACCGCTCGGGGGCGTGCCGGAGGCCCTTACCTTCCCAGGTTTCGGACAAGACAACGCCCCCCGGAGTCCTTTACCGGACTACCCCTTTTCTTGGGGAAGGTGATGGCGTACCTTCCCCCCGATCCATTTGCATAACAATTAAACCCCCAGCCAATGCCTAACCGCCACCCGAGCGGAGCTCGCTGCCAATACCTTCAAACCTGTAACCAACTCCTAATCCCTGACCTAATGTCATCCAACCAAATATCGCTTCCAGCATCAGAAAGATGCACACCATCCTTTCTGTAGAGGGCCTCGTTGCTGAATTGAATGCCTGGGTGCCCTATGACGCACCCGCCCAGGGCTGCCACTCTACGTCCAACTGCCCGCTCTAAAACTTTCCTAGCCTTGTTGACCCCCACTGGGCTCGCACAATCCCGCCATGTCCTCCTCTCCAGCAACGAGGACCATAAAATAGTGATATTTGGATATGTTGCCAACAGCTCGGACAAATCGTCGAAAATGTTCCATCTCAGATCAATGGCTTTACGGTAAGCCAGATCATTCTCACCCAACTGAATCACCAGGGCATCGGGCGGCCCATCAACCGCGGCCCTCGCCATCACCACTGGTTTGAATTCACTCCAGCGCATCCCTCTACGCGCTATCCAAACCAGTTCCACGTTAGCAGGTAAACTCAAGTTGCTGCCCATTCCAGAACTCAAGGCACGATTCCTGGCCCAGTGAACAATACTGTGGCCCACCAACCAAATGCGCACTCTCCTGGGATCTGCAAGGTAAATGGACAGGGGAACAGAGGTCAGGGGTAGCAGTCCTAGTCATAAATTGTTTCTGACATAAGCCTTATACGCATTAGATTTCCACCTCCCCAATTCTTTTATCCTTTCGGTGGAAAGCCCCATGTGCACCGCTGTGGTGGCCGCTCCAATACGGAAGGAATGGGCTGCAAACTCGAGTGGCGGTAAACCACATGCCAACAATGCCGACCTCACCACCCTGGTGAATTGATGCCTAGTCAGGGGGGATCCATCTGCGTGTAACAGAAGTGGGCCGGGTCCTTTCGGCCTCAGGTACAAGAAACGCCGCGTATCCCTCACTGGACAAGGGCCTTTACTGTGAACTGCTGGGAGCCGAATTAGGGCCCCCTTGCCCTGCTGATCAGTCTTTGAGCTCCGCACCCGGACAATGAGGTCGTCTCCAGAGAGGGTCATATCACTCATTAACACACCCCTCTGCGAGTGGGTGCCCCCTCCTTCGCAGACCACCTCGCCCACGCGTAGAGCACCAAAGAAAGATATGGAATACACGGCCGAGAATAGGCGCGCCTCGTACTTCGACCAGCATATAGTTCGCAGTGATTTGTGTATCCGTGTCAGTAAATCATATGTAATGGGCTGCCTCCTGTCCGAGCTGCGGGGGTGCTGCCTGTGCCATCCCTCTGGCGTTTTACGCACAATGAATGCCGCACACGGGTCGGTTTCAAAGAAGGCTTTACAAAAGTATGAAATCCCTGCGGACTGGATATTAAGCGTTTTTGGGGCCCTGCCTAAGTCCTTCAGGTGCGCCAGGTAGCGGAGGACCTCCCTGGTAGTGGGGGTAGCGCGATGACTTGAGCCAGGCAGGCTCATGCGAAACCTTAAGAAATCGGCCCAAGCCTTCCCGTACGACCTCATCGTGGATGGGGCTACAGCCCCGAATACTCCCTTCATAATTTCTCGCTCCCAATCCTCCAGAGGTGCTCCGGGAAAGGCATCGATGATTGCTCCGCATCCGGCGCTAATAAGCGGAAGCGCTCCATCTGGAAACGAGATAGAGCATCCGCAATGTCATTATTAATGCCGGGCACGAATTTGGCCGAAAAACATATATTCTGTTCCAGGCACAACAAGACAAAGGATCGTAATAGGTTTCCCACTCTGGACGACCGAGCGGACTGCCTAGAGAGAACCGCTACGACTGCTTGGTTATCGGTATTGAAACATACCCTGTGGTTGCGGAATTGGTCTGCCCACAGGTGTACAGCCACCACAATAGGGAAGAACTCCAAAAATGTAAGGTCCCGAGTAATGGGCTGGCCATGCCAGTCTGGGGGCCATTTTTCAGCACACCACTGGCCACGAAAGTAGACCCCAAAACCCAATGACCCTGCTGCATCTGAATGAACTTGAAAGTCAGAGTTGAGCACCAAGGCATCCTGCCATAATGATATACCATTGTACTTTTCCAGAAATTGTAGCCAAATACCCAAGTCAGCCTTAACTTCCTTGGAGAGGCGTACCCGGTGCTGAGGGGCTTTTAGCCCGGCCGACAGTCTAGCCAAGCGGCCGCAGAATGGGCGGCCCGGGGCAACAACCCTGCACGCAAAATTAAGGTGGCCTAGCAGGGATTGGATTTGTCTTAGGGTAACTTTCTTGAGAGGCAAAAGTTGCTGTATCAGAGCCTTGAGGGATGCTAGCTTTTCTCGCGGCAACCTGGAATTCTGGGCCACTGTGTCTAGTTCGATACCCAAATAAACCAATGAAGTGGCCGGACCCTCTGTTTTATCGGCGGCTAGGGGTACCCCTAGTTCGCCGGCTAGGGACGTGAGAGCCTCGAGCAAGGCGGAGCAGCGCGGCTTGCTATCTGCTGCCAAAATAAAGTCATCGAGATAATGAGACACACCCGCGGATCCCGTTCTGAAGCGTAGGGCCCAATCTAGAAATGTGCTAAAGGATTCGAATGCTGCACAAGCCACGGAGCAACCCATGGGCATAGCTTTGTCAATGAAATACGCATCCTCAAATTTGAAACCCAACCATTTGAAATCATCTGGGTGTACAGGGAGAAGGCGGAAGGCAGACTCAATATCACATTTTGCCAAAAAGGCCCCTCGGCCAAATTTACGAATCATTTTGACGGCCTGATCGAAGGAAGCGTATCTCACTGTACAAAGTTATTGAGGAATTGAGTCATTGACCGAGCCTCCCCTTGGGTAGGAGAGGTTATGAATCATGCGGAATTCGCCCGGGGCCTTTTTTGGTACTATGCCTAGCGGAGACACGTGAAGGTCCTCAAAGGGTGGTTCTGGAAATGGCCCGGCTACCCTACCAGCTCTGATTTCTTTATCTATCTTTTTTCTGACTATATCGGGCCTTTCCCTGACTGATTTCTGATTCCCTGCCTCCCTAGTGTTGGGGGGGGTAGCCACTGGGATTCTGAATCCCATTGAGAACCCCTCCCACAGGTATTTTGCCGCTGTCTTATCTGGGTACTGATCCAACAACACTTTGAGGGGCTGCAAGCGGATGGGGGAAAAGGCCAAGCAAAGATTAACGTTACTGGCGGTTGCTGGTTCCTTGGGCGGCAGCACCGGGGGCACCCCTGCTGCTGTTTTGGAAGTACCCCCTACCCCCCGAAAGGGCTGTGGCTTGTTTTTAAAGCACACGGATGCAGGGTGATTACCCCAGCACCGCTCACATTCGTGGAGATTGCTCACTTACAAAAGGGGCGTGAGCAAACGCCCCTGTTGAATTCCCAACACTGGCGCCGACGCTTTGTCTCAGTCTTACCAGCCTTGACCGCGTCCAGACTTTTCTTCTCAATGTAGGGATTCACATCCTCGCCCCAGAAGTTAGGGTCCGTAAGGTCCCATCGTGTGGTAGGATGTAGGGAGGCATTTCTCCGGAAATTCTCATCATAAGTTAATGCTGAGTTTTCTCCCGCTAGGGCTCGGGCGCGCCTAACATGAGCCTGGTATGCAACTAAATCCATGGCTCGCTTGGGATACGCTGCGCATACCACGCCCATGAAAACCTGGTACCCATCCAACCAGTTCTCGAAGGTGCGCTCTGCTCTGGGCGTGCGATATCTCCTCTTACCATAGGAGCGACGCTTTTCACCTTTACCGGTTACTTTGGTTGGAGGGAGGAGGGAAAATATATCCACGTAATCCCCATTGAGGATCTTATTCCTCTTCCTTTTGGACAGGTGGTACCCCAGGATAAAATCGGTGGGCTGATTGGTAGCGACCTTAACGTCTTCTACCAATGCCCCATCTTTCCACTCTAGCACCCCATTGAAGGTTTTCCGGTGAGAATTGGCCCGCCTTTTATGGGCCCACAGCGGGATCCCGTGATTATTCTCACCATACCCCAATAGCCATCCATCGAACCCTCGGAATCAGAATCTGAAGAGGACGTACCTGACTCTTCCTCGGTCTCAGAATGCTTGCACCTTTTCTTCTTAGCCGAGATGTGCTTCTTTTTAGCTTTCCTCTTACCCCCTTGCGTCTCACTATTAGAGGCGCTGGCCGTTGTCTGAGGCGATTGTGGATCCTCACGCTCTTCCTCAAGGCAGGAACCTGCGCTGTCCTCAGTGGAACTATGCGTAGCCTGCTGGTCCTGAAAGACACTAGGTGTACCTATCGCTCGTGAGGTGGTGCTGCTATTGCTCCCTTTTTCGTGTGCCTTAGCTTTGCCGCTGCCCTTTGCTGGCGCCTTGCCCTTTCCGGCTCCTTGAGCAGCTTTTTTAGCTAGGGCGGACCTAGCCCTGGTATTGGGGCGGCCCCCTGCTGTGGTATCGGATTGAGGACCTGCAGCTATAGCAGATGACGTACCCAACTGCCCCTGATTCGAAGGCAGAGTGTCAGGAATCACGTCCTGCGATGGCTCCGGGGCTGGCAGCGCCAAAGGCCCTGGCTTACACTTTTTATAGAATGTTTCAAAAGCCATGAAAAACTGGGCAAAGGCTTGTGGGTCACAGGGCATGGCAGCCATTAGCGCGTTACCATTGGCCGCTGAGGGTGCTAGCTGGTTGGCAGAAGTAGATGGCTGCTGATCCCCGCCGGAAGCCATAATGAACTGTGCGCGATTCTTGTTCAGTATTGCCAACACAGCACCAAGGCTTGGACTAGCAAAATTTAGGATCTGTATATTTTATTTTATTTTATTTTTATTTTTATTTTTCTATTTATTTATTTATTTCAGAATTACCTATTGTAGTGAAATGTAGTTCAAAATTATCTACACCGTACTGTTCAGCAATTCCACCCCCTGGTTGCACTACCACCTTGGGACGGGCTAGCTGTGACCAGAGTGCTGATAACCACCACTGGCCCAGCTGTTGAGACACTCAGAGAAATTCAGGCAAATAGCACACAGTTTGAATGATTGCTAAAACGGTTGCCTGCGAAAGTATTAAATAAGTCCCACTTATAAATGTAAATCACAGAAATAACTATGTGTTTTACTTGCCTGAGCTACTCCTCCTACCAGTCAATCTCAATATATGAGACTAAATGTGCAGATATTATACTTTGCAGTAAAACAGTAAAATGAAATATATTCCACCTTTATCTAGTAATCTGATGTTTAACTTTTTAACACCTGGTCTCCCATCCAATTTGAGACCACATCGGACCCTGCTTAGCTTTGCAAATGTGCTAGCAGTTTTATTGCTGCACCACCAGGGAGACTCTCCAATCTTGAGGGAAACAGGAGCTTAACTTCCAAGAGGTAACAAAAGCTTAGCTAGTATTTAAGCTGCTAAAGCCAATATACTATCTAGCACTACTAGGCAAATAAGCAAACCTGACAGGTACACAACCACAGAATAAAATAACTAGGAATTAAATCACAGGCTGCTGCCAAATTAAAGGAATAAAATAACTAGGAATTAAGTAATTAAAGGAACAAAATAACTAGGCAAATAAGCAACCTGATAAGCACACAACCACAGGCTGCTGCTGAATTAAAGGAATAAAATAACTAGGAATTAAGTAATATAAGGAACAAAATAACTAGGCAAATAAGCGACCTGATAAGCACACAATTACAGGCTGCTGCCAAATTAAAGGAACACAATAACTAGGAATTAAATCACGGGCTGCTGCCGAATTAAAGGAATAAATTAATTTAGAATTAGGTAATCAAAGGAACAAAATAACTAGGCAAATAAGCAACCTGATAAGCAAACAATCACAGGCTGCAGGCAAGAATTTAACGATCAAAAGTAATTGCCAGGCCCTTGCCCTTAAACAAAATGGCTGCCCCTGTCCTCACACGTGGTTTCCCAAAATGGCGGCCAGTGCACTCTGCCCTATCTCAAAATGGCCCCTCAGGCTTCAGCACGTGGTGTCAAAACAATGACACCCTGTGGTTTGGGCCTCCCCCAAAATGGCGGTAGGAAGGTGGGGGTGGTCGCTGTTCCGCCCTCAGTTGAAATGGCTACCAAGCCTTCACCACAAGGCTCCTCAAAGTGGCGGCCGGAGGGTGGATGAGGTTGCTGGTCTGCCCTTAGCTAAAATGGCTTCTGAGCCTTCACCACGTGACGCCCACAAGCTTCTATAGCAACCAGCACGGAGATCCGCAGAGGTAAGGGGGTAACGGGGGAGTGAGAAAGGAAGCTGAAAAATAAACCGCTAGCACCAAGCAGACAGGATTCCGGCACACAAGGATTCAAGGGTTTGCTTTTTAAAAGGACAAAAAAAAAAAAAAAAAAAAAAGAGGAGGGGGAGGAGGGCTAAAGGGCTAAAGGAGCGGGAGAAGGACGCACGAAGCGACAGCAGGCGAGGGGAGGAATCGGCTCCAAAGAGCAAGGAGGTTTAAATGAACCGCACAGAGAAGGGAGACCTGGCAAGCGTGTGTTACCCTTTCCAAGCGCAGGATCGAGATTCCAGCTCCAGCAAAGACCGAGGTCCCGCTAGTGATTTCAGCTCCGGCTGAAGGTGAGGGCAGCTGAACGCAGTTGAAAAAACAAATCCCACGACGCTTGAACAGGCTTGAGGAAGACCGGGTAAGAGATCCAAAACCTCTCAGCTGGCCAGGAGTAAAGAGGGTGGTCCCTGGGCGTGCCTGGCCTTAAGTATGCCAAGGCCACGCCTCCCCCAGCCGGCCGATTGGCGGACGGGTGGAAGGCACGCCCAGGGATTCCCCCAACTCTCGCGGGGGCAGCAGGCCAGCCCCCGCGCTTGGGGGGAGGGGCAAGACCGCAACCCCCTCTCTTCCCCCATGGGGTCAGAAATGGCTTTATCGCTTTGACATCTGATGGGAGGGCGTTCCACAGGACGGGCGCCACTACCGAGAAGGCCCTCTGCCTGGTTCCCTGTAACTTGACCTCTCGTAGTGCTACAGACATACCCATAAAAGCCTTTTTTGTTGCTTTTAACCTCTCTCTAGCAAGCCTGAGTTCATTCTGTGCTTTAGCTTTTCTGACTTTGTGTCTACATGTGCTGGCTATTTGTTTGAATTCCTCTTTGGTGGTTTCCCCCCTTTCCCATTTTTTGTACACATCCTTTTTTAATCTTAACTCAGTTAAAAGTTCTTTAGATAGCCACCCTGGCTTCTTTAGGCACCTTCCATGTTTCCGTCTCATTAGTATTGCCTGAAGTTGTGCTTTTACTATCTCCCTCTTAACAAACTCCCAGCCATCATGAACTCCCTTTCCTTTTAGTATTACTGTCCATGGGATCTCATCCAGCACTTCCCTAAGTTTTATGAAGTCGGCTTTCTTAAAGTCAAGAAATTGAGTCCTAGTATGCTTGGCTGCTCCTTTCCGCTGTATAGTAAACTTCAGAAGAGCACGATCACTCGCGCCTAATGATCTGTCAGGGAACTGCCATCAGTGCCGGAGGGAGAAAGCAAAATCTAGAGGGATTCCAGAGAGTGTCCTGGGAGTAGGAGAGGCAGCCCATCTTCTGGGGAAGAGAATCAGCGTAGCACCAGTGGAGAAGGGGGGCAGATGGGGAAAGCGGCGAGGCGGTCCCATGACTCCTTGCCGGGGACCAGCAAGGAGAGTAGAGGTCCTCCGTTGCCTATGCCCTCCTTGCGCAGAAGGCTTTCACGCAGAGAGAGTAGGAAGAGACTAGGCGTCAAAGAGCTTCTTTGCTGGAAGAAGTTTAAGAAACGCCCACTGATGGATTCTGCCAGCGATTGAGACAGCCACGGGAGAGTGGCTGTCCGGACAGAAAAGGTTCACTCAGGCAACCCAGCCAGGTGTTTGCGCCGGCTTATGCACAAGCAACCCCTAGAACCATTACATGATCCTTCCAATTCTACCCCACTAACCAGGTCATCAACATTGGTTAGGACCAGATCTAAAATGGCTGTTCCTCTTGTTGCTTCTCCCACTTTCTGGACAATGAAGTTGTCTGCAAGGCCAGTGAGGAATCTGTTTGACCTTATGCTCTTGGCTGAGTTTGACATCCAACAAATATCCGGGTAATTGAAGTCCCCCATTACTACTATCTCCCTTCCTTTTGCATGCTTGGCCATCTGTTACAGGAAGGCATCATCTATGTCCTCCGTTTGGCTTGGGGATCTATAGTAAACTCCCACAATGAGGTCTCTGTTATTCTTCTCTCCCTTAATTTTGACCCAAATGCTCTCACTTTGGCTTTGAGGTTCTAAATCTTGGATCTCTTCACAGGTATACACATCCCTGACATATAACGCCACTCCTCCTCCTTTCTTGTCTGGTCTGTTTCTCTGAAATAGATTGTATCCCTCCATTAGGTAAAGGTAAAGGTACCCCTGCCCGTATGGGCCAGTCTTGCCAGACTCTAGGTTGTGCGCTCATCTCACTCTATAGGCCGGGAGCCAGTGCTGTCCGCAGACACTTCCGGGTCACGTGGCCAGCGTGACATCGCTGCTCTGGCAGGCCAGCGCAGCACACGGAACACCGTTTACCTTCCCGCTAGTAAGCGGTCCCTATTTATCTACTTGCACCCGAAGGTGCTTTCGAACTGCTAGGTTGGCAGGCGCTGGGACCGAACGACAGGAGCGCACCCCGCCGCAGGGATTCGAACCGCCGACCTTTCGATCGGCAAGTCCTAGGTGCTGAGGCTTTAACCCACAGCGCCACCTGCTTCCCTCCATTATTACATTCCAATCGTGGGACTTATCCCACCAGGTTTCAGTGATGCCTATTATGTCATATTTAGTTTGCTGTACCAAGAGCTCAAGCTCATCTTGTTTATTTCCCATGCTTTGCGCATTAGTGTACAGACATTGAAGTCCATTAATCATTCCCCCGTGTCTCTTATTTAAGGATTTTTTCCTCCCACCACTAGGTCTGCGTGCTGTTTGCTCCATTTGGTCTATGACATTTGGATGATCATCTTCCTCAATTGATAGACTCCTACCTTCAGGAGCACTGTCTCCCTCCCCCACATTAGTCAGTTTAAAGCCCTCCTGATGAGGTTTCTGAGATTTTTGGCAAAAACATTCCTCCCAACCATTGTGAGGTGCAGCCCACCGCTTGCCAGAAGTCCATCTTCAAGAAACTGCAGTCCAGTGATCTAAGAATCCAAACCGTTCCTGTTTACACCATTTGCGAAGCCAGCTGTTCACTTCCACTATTTTTCCCTCTCTCCCTGGGCCACGTCGTTCAACTGGTAGGACAGATGAGATGACAATTTGTGCATTTAATTGCTTCAATTTCCTGCCCAGAGTCTCGTAGTCTCTTTTGATCTTCTGGAGGCTATTGCTCGCAGTGTCATTGGTTCCCACATGAACCAAGAGGAAGGGGTATTTGTCAATGGGTTTTATGATTCCTTGCAGTCGTTCAGTTACATCTTGGATCTTAGCCCCGGGGAGACAGCACACCTCCCGAGACATCTTGTCAGGCCCACAGATCACTGCTTCTGTTCCCCTCAGTAGGGAATCCCCTATCACCACTACACGCCTCCTCTTAGGTTTGGTTCGAGGTTCTTCCGTGAGCTGTCCGTTCCAAGGTCGCCTGCAGGAATGCATTTGCGTTGATTTGATTGAGGGGGAGGAACCAAGATGGCGAAGGAGACAGCAGCCTAGTCAGACTCTCCTGCTTTTAGTTAAGTTTTTAAGTAGTTTTTAGCCACTTCTTGGTTTTTAAACTCTCAGTTTTAACGTCTTACCAGCTGTTTTATCACCTCCTCGCTTCTCTTTGCTTTTAGTTTATTGTTTTATTGTTTTACTGCTCAATCTGTCGGGGGAGCAGGAGCCCCTCGCTGCCCTCTGATGTTTTAGAGCTAGTAGTTTTAGAGCTAGTAGTTTTATTGCTGTTAAGCTTTCACCGACTTCAACTCCAGCCTGAGTGATTTATTACCTCCTTATCTTATTGGCATTTGCCTACCACAACGAAACATCTTTCCAAGTGCAACTATATTAGAGAGTGGAAGAGAGAGGAAGAGAGGAAGAGAGAGTACTGAGCTTTACCTACATTTTGGAATTCCACGCAGCTGACAGGGCACAGCGGGGGCATTAAATTAATGTCAACATCACCGGAGGGCTTTCAACGCCGTCGGGAAGTACCTTTACATAGTTTCTTCGGCAAGTAAGATGGCGGTTCAAGCCCGATAGGATTTCATCGCCCTCCTCCCCTCAACGTTGCATCTGCCATGGTTGTTGTAAGTAATGCCGCTGTAAAAATCTATTCCATCTACCCCCCTCTATCTCTGGTCGCTAGATCATGAACTGTCGGAAAGTCTGGCTCACAGTGGACCACAGCCACTTCTAATTAATTAACTAGACGTGGAGCTTCTGGGGAGAGCATTATCTAACGAGAGGAGTGTTAATTCCAGCTTGTCTAATTGGGACGAAGCGGTGCTATCT